CCTCCGGGCTGGGTGGTCGCTTGTTTCGATAGGCCTCCTCGGGGTCGGAAAGTGCCTGAAGACAAACTCCACCATGACTAAGGCCTCCGGGCTGGGTGGTCGCTTGTTTAGAACACCCCTTGGGATGGGCAGGTTGGCCCCCTGTTTTGTACATCCCTCGGATTGGGTGGGCAAGTGCCTGAAGAGAAGAACAACAAAAATCCACCATGACTAAGGCCTCCGGGCTGGGTGGTCGCTTGTTTCGATAGGCCCCCTCGGGGTCGGCAAGTGCCTGAAGACAAATTCCACCACAACTAAGGCCTCTGGGCTGGGTGGTCGCTTGTTTAGTACACCCCTTGGGATGGGCAGGTTGACCCCCTGTTTCGTACATCCCTCGGATTGGGTGGGCAAGTGCGAAGACATGGATGACTCGAGCAGACCTCGGAGGCAGGTCGATAATTCTTACTTGGCTCTATTTCGTCTGGTATTGTTGAATATTTGTTTCTAACCCAGTGGCAGGTCGAGAAATTTCATTATGGATAATTCGAGCAGTATGAAGACAAAATCCACCATGACTAAGGCCTCCGGGCTGGGTGGTCGACCTAGTGTTGGGTCGTAAAGACATGGAGCCTATCGGAGACCTCGGAGGCAGGTCGATGATTTCTTATTGGTTATATCTGGTTTGTTATCAATTGGATATTTGTTCCTAACCCAGTGGCAGGTTGAAGGAAGACAATATCCACCATGACTAAGGCCTCCGGGCTGGGTGGTCGATCCTAGTGTTGGGTCGTGAAGATACAGATAGCTCGTGCAGGTTAACAAATTATTTGATTTGGTTTTGTGCTATTGGTGCTTCTGACCTCAGTGGCAGGTCGATCAAACTCGCTACCGATAGCTCGAGCGAGTTGTCTGTTGATTCTGGTTTATCAAAATTGTTTTCCGACCCCGGTGGCGGGTCAGGTATATTCATTATGGATTGAACAGGTTGATTGTGCTTTGTTTGATTATGCTTCCGTCGAATTGATTTTTCGACCCCAGTGGCGGGTCAGTGGCAGGTCGAGTATATTCATTACGGCTCAAGCAGGTTGGTGGTTGATTTATT